GGCAACACGGATGGGGACAATTCTCCACAAGCCTGGGAACCGTGGGTGGCTGGTCTTGGGAAACTGAACACTTTAAAAACCCTCCAACCTGGCTCTCCACACTACCCTTGACCACCTCACTGACAAGTACTGTGTTGTAGCAGCTCCCAAATCGGGGATTCTCTGAATTTTTCTTTCATGACCCTGGAAGGTTTATTCTTTCTGATGGCTCACAGAGAGAATCCTCATCTTAGTCTTTCCATAGCAGCCACTTTATGGCCCCCAATAATGAGAAAGACCAAAGGAGAGCTATGAAGAAACAGACCGTCCACCTGCACCATCCACCAGTCACCTACTCTTTAGCTAGGGGCTGCAAAGAGCAGAAGGCTAAGGCGGACAGGTGCTTACAGGGTGCATGTTGATGAGCCAACCAGTCCGCTCACCAGGCTCCTTCAGCCTCTCAAAACCAAACCGCATGTCCATCTTATCTGTCCACTGACTCCGCTCCAGGCGCTTGAGTGCTGAGACTGAGGAAGGGGGGCCGTCATCCCTGAGGAACAGAGAGCAACCCAGGTTCAGCACCACGTCACCACCTGAAACCAACCCACATAACCCTAACCCTAGTGCAAGCAGCAAGCACACCTGGGTGCTACTGTCAGGGTTCCGATACATCACAGCACATACAGTCCTTACAAACATCAAGTTGGCCTCTTTCTAGTTCTGACCTGGTAACAATGCTTTATACAGATTTCAGCCAAAGTCTTAATTTCAGTGCCTAATGAAGACTCTCGGTCACAGTAACTATCAACTCTGTTGATTGCAGGGCTCTGATTCTTGCAAATTGTTCATAATCTTTACTAGCCAGATTGATCCCACCTGGATGGTCCCGTACAGTTAGTTTCCTCATCTTCGAGAGAGAGCAATCCTGCAGTTTATTGGCATTTCAGCTTTCCTTTTAAAAACATTAGTTTCTTTTTAGAACCACAGTTCTTTTGAACTCAGGCCCTTGTGCTTGCCAGGCAAGCACTTATTCTACTGAGCCGTCTCCCCGGCCCTTAGAACCACAGTTCTGAGACTCTAGATCCTTTATGCTTTTGCCAAAAGGCCTACTTATTTCCTAAGCCAATTTTGTTCTTCAGTCCCCAAAAACATACGCTAAGCACCAATGTCCTGTGCCTTGTCTTAATGTAAGTAAATGAGCTATTTTAGAAACCCATGAGCAGAGCCTGGTGTGGTGATGCAAGTGAGTAACTCCAGCACTCTTAGAGGCTGAGTCAGAAGTCAGCAGGATCAAAAAAGAAAGAAAAAACTCAGGATCAATGCCAGGGGTGGGGGAGGAGGCAGGCACAGATGTGTGGAGAGAGGCTGATGTTCAAGTGGGAGACGGTAAATATACATACTCATGCAGAAGCGAGCATATTTCCTACATCTGCTTCTTGGCCTTGGTCAAGGAAGACCCAGCCTGGCTCTTCTTGGCCCACTTGGAATGTTCCATGTGTTCTTCCAGACAGGGCAAGGTGGGCTTCCAGGTGTCAAAGAGCTTTCTTTCCCCACCTACTCACAGGTATCACTCCTTTCACCACGCTTCCCATCCCAGGATGATACTAACTACCTTCAGCATTTGCTAGAATGTGGATGCTGTCTGCAAACTTGTCTTAGCATGTAGGCCAAGCACACCTAAACTTGCTAGTATCCTGGGCTGGCCTTGAATTTTCCTCCCTGGGACTCCTTACCACTGGGGATAAGGCACCACACCCAGCCTAGAGTATGTTTTTTGAAACAAGGTCTCACTCTGTAGTTGAGGCTGGCCTCAAACTTGTGGTACTCTTCCTGCCTCAGCCTCCCCAGCGCTGTGACTACAGGCATGTACCACCGTGCTCCAGTACAATGTAACAAGAGGACTCTTCTCCCCCCAGTAAGCTCCAGTGAGTGAGTTAGTTGCCCAGGTAACAGTTCTGGCTAGTTACAGTTCCTTTTCCCTGGTCACTGTGATGCAGATAGTAAGACCCAATCCCCAATTGAGAAGCCATTCTATTCTTCCTGCTTGCTTATCCCATAGGAGCATTAGGCCACCACAGATCAGGGTTTGACACTTTTATAAGGGTTCATTCCTTGCAGTGCCCATCTGACATAAATAAATCTGGCTCCAAATCCTGGGTGGGTTTTTTTGGGTTTCTGTGCCAGTTACTTTGTAATTTTATTCTACTATTTTTGAGATGGAGGCTAGCTATGCAGTTCAGGCTGGTCTTGTGCTCACTTCTGTAACTCCCAGGCTGGCCTCGAACTCGAAGCGATCCTGTCTCAGCCTCCTGTGTGCTGGGATTACAGGCTTGTGCCACCACCCCTGGTTAACAATACCAGGGTTTTTTAAAATTAATTTTATCGAGAAACAAACAGCAATGAGAGTTTCAAAACAGGTTAGTAGGACAGTTACAATAATTAATACATTGCTTATTATCTTCATAGTAGTTAGTCATAGAACAATACCAGCTATTAATAAAAATATATGACTACACTGTCATGGACTGGGAGACTGAACTATGTAATCAGATTGTATGATTGCTACACTGGCTTGTTTCACTAATAAAAATGGGGCTTTCTGAACTCCCAAGGCTCTTGTCTTCTTGAGATGGGAGTTTCCTGGTCTTCCCTCCTTAAAAATTTGTTTTTCTCTCTATCTATCCTTCATAACCCTACATCAGTTTGGAGGCTGATTCCGCAGCAGATAGTGTTACAAGTCTTCATAACGTGTTTCTAAAATATCGTTGTATCATTTTACCCTATAATTCTACTTCAACTGGGGCCGGGGAGATGGCTCAGTGGATTAAGTGCTTCCCTGGCAAGCACAAGGGTCTGAGTTCAATCACCGGTTCTGCCAAAAAAAAAAAAAAAAACAAGAAAACACACACACACGTGTACACACACACAAATAATAAAAGAAATTCTACTTCAACTAATTTACGGCAAGGAAAGGGTTGTGCAGGCAATATTCACCCTACATATGGACGTTCAACACAAGTATTTATAAGAGGTCAAAAAGAAAAGCCATTTACAAAAGGTATATGTCCAAAGTAGGATCACTTAAAAAAAAATTAAAATGATCTGAACCAAGTCTCTGCACAATGTCCTTCTCATTGTTATAACCTATGTAACCGTCTCCATTTGTGTAACTAGAGCAGCTGTTCTGTTATACAACTGTGTGCGTTTCTGTCATAACCTGTGAGTGACTCCATTTGTAACCAGAATAGCCATTCTGTTATACACCTCTGAACGTTTCCACTGTAACTTTATTAACGAGGACTGTTTGGTATAAGCTGACAACTTAAGCTCCATCGTGGTGACTCAGGCCATCCTCCGGACCTCTGAACACAGTTTGTTAATGTTCAAACTATTCCTTTGTTCTAAACCACAGTGTGTTAAAGGTTAAAATCTGAACTATTCCTTACCCCAGACAGAGCACGCCTCCCAGTATGTCCGTGATCAACCCCGAACCCTAAATTGTAACTGTTGGTTCCTGAAGACTAACCCATGTTAGCGGACCCTGACCCTGGGCTGCATCTCTCTCGCGCTTACATCACAAGACCTCTCCCGACTGCGGTTTTCAGCTTTATAAACCCGTCTCTCCCTACTTAATCGCGCACCTACTTGGAGACGAGAGTGCGTGCCGCCGCCGAGCTCAGCTAAATAAAGCGCTTTTAAGTTGAGTCCGGTTTTTAATTTTTGGTTACAACACCATAACTTAGTCCGCCAGCTGTTACACTTATAAACAAGGGGCCGCGGAGACGGCTCAGTAGAATAAGCGCTCGCCTTGCAAGCGCAAAGGCCTGAGTTCAATCCTCGGTTCCGCCAAAAAAAAAAAAAAAAAAAGGAAAAAGAATAATTAAATTTATAAACAGAAGTACAAACAGAACCGTTTGTCAAGAAAAACATTTCCTTGGCCTGAAGGGATTCCACAGTCCTCTCCATCTGAAAGGAATAGCTGGGCCGGGGAGACGGCTCAGTAGAATAAGCGCTTGCCTGGCAAGCTCAAGGGCCTGAGTTCAACCCCGGTTCTGGAAAAAAAAAAAAAGAAAGAAAGAAAAAAAGAAAGAAAAGAATAGCTCTATTCCAAGATTAGGGTCCTTGCTTCCTGTAACCACCCGCGGCAGGCAGATTAGCGCTCCCCTCACCCCCCGAAATCGGGCGCAGCTGCTCGCGGCCACAGACGCCGCCCCAGCCACTCGCACTCCTTCCACCTGCACGACGATCCCCACCACAAGGACCGCCGGGCTCCTCGCACGAGACGGAGCGCCTGACAGCCGGTCCCGGACACCCTCGCCGCCCCGGCGAACCGCCCGCGCGTCCGCAGTGCAGACCCGCCGAGCGCCGCCGCGCA